TTCTATGGAACGTCCACAGTGAAACTATGTATATCTTTCGAGGGTGGATTTGCTTTTGGGAAATAGTTAGGAATCACCCATAAACTAATCAGGTGAATGGATCGAGCTGACTGATACCACCTGGGTGTTGAAAAGGAAATATGATTTTACAAAGTAGCAAAACCGGTGTGTGTGTGTGTGTGTGTGTGTGTGTGTCCTTGATGGTAATTCCAAAAGAATAATTTAGAAGTGTTTATGAATGTTTGATAAATGTTTATAAATGTTTAATCAAGACATGTATTTTATTTTTTTAATGTTTATTATTGAGAGACAGAGAGACACAGAGTGTGAGCAGGGCAGGGGTAGAAAGAGGGGGAGACACAGAATCTGAAGTAGGCTCCAGGCTCTGAGCTGTCAGCACAGAGCCCGACGTGGGGCTTGAACTCACAAACTGCGAGATCATGACCTGAGCTGAAGTCGGTTGCTCAACCCACTGAGCCACCCAGGTGCCCCAAGACATGTATTTTAGAAAAATTTATATGACTCTATGATAGAGAGAGGATGATTATTTTGAACGTCAGCATTCATTTGGATTTGTAAGTTTTGATATGCTCGTTTAAAAAGCTGGCTCCTTCTACTGACTCAATAAGGAAAACTGGTTATAATTAATGGAGTACCGGACAAAGCCGAGGTTAATTTCTCTTTCACCTAAAAGTCTGCAGGACAGCGTGGTGGGTCTGGTCCATGAGATCCTCAGAAAGCAGCTTCCTTCCAGCTCATTGCTCTGCCATCCCCCGGACATGTCCCTCATCATCACATCCATGTTCTGGCCAGCAAAATGGAGTAAGGAAATGCAAAGGGATACAAGGTCATGAGAAATCTATTAGTCTCTGCAGGAGGACTCCTAGTAACTCCCTACTCACAGCTCATTGGCCAGAACCTTGTCACATGACCACATCTAGCTGAAAGGGCATCTGGGAAATGTAGTCTTTATCCCAGACAGCAAAAGGTAGGGCTTCTAGGACTATGAAAGCACCTGAGAGCAAACATTAGGATTGACAACTAGCAGTCTATACATCACAATTACCTTTACTGGTATCCACTTGATTTTAGTGAAGCTTGAATCACAGAGATATCACTTGCCACACTACCCTCTTAACAGAAATAATAATTTTAGTTCTATTTACCTATCATTTCAAAACCATTAAACAAGGAACTGTGCTATGTGCATTACATACACATGGTATATTATTTAATTCACCTAACAGTCTACATAACACACACTAACATCCCCCTTTAACAGACGAGAAGACAGATTTAGAGATGTAAAAATCCCAGACTGCCTGAGACCCCATGGTTAGAAAATGGCCAAGTCAGATTTTGAATTCAAAACTACCCACTTCCAGAGCTCAGGCCCTTAACCCCATTGTTTTTCCAAAGAAGGGAAAGATCTTGGAGTTAATCTCTTACCAGGACTCTGGGACCCAAATGTTAGTAGTGTTTGAAGGAATGTTAAAGCTGAGGTTTAGCAGTTAACAAAATCTAACGAGACTGAGGTGCCTGCTATGAGTAGGAAGTACTTGGATCAGATTAAGCGGTCAGCTCCAAGGTGGGATGAGAAATTCCCCAGTGTGATGCCCCACCATGCCATCAGAGCCTCTTCTTGTCAGTTAATTGTGGATACCTAAGTCCCCTCATTCTGCCAGTGTGGTGGAAGGAAGAAAGGAAGGGAGAGAGGGAGGGAGGGAGGGAGGGAGGGAGAGAGAGAGAGAGAGAGAGAGAGAGAAAGAAAGAAAGAAAAGAAAGAAAAAGAAAGAAAGAAAGAAAGAAAAGAAAGAAAAGAAAGAGAAAGAAAGAAAGAAAGAAAGAAAGAAAAGAAAGAGAAAGAAAGAAAGAAAGAAAGAAAGAAAGAAAGAAAGAAAGAAAGAAAGGAAGGAAGGAAGGAGGGAAGGAAGGAAGGGACAGGGAGAGGAGAAAAAGGAAGTAAATGAGGGAAGGGGAGAAAAAGGCGAGGGAGAAAAAGGGAAGGGAAAGAGAAGGGAAGTTTTCCACGGCTGGACCAGTATTGTTGTCAAGCCGGCCTGGTGCTCCTTGTTGTAAAAACAAGCTCAGTGATGTTTAAACAATTCTAACACTGGGGAATGACAGCTCTTGTCTGGGAACAACATGTTCTGTCCGAGCACTAAGGCTGAACCTTCAGCAGGAAGAGGAACAAGAACTCTATTTTTCTGGCCACGCTTTTCAACAGGACCGTAACGAAAGAGAATTTAGTACAGGAAGTGGCGAGTAGCTACTGATCGCCTTTTTGGTCTGAAAAAAATTCCAATTTCACTTCTCTGAAGATACTGTGCTCTGTGAAAGGCGTCGCTTCATTTTCTGCCCAGTATGTGGGGATAATGACCAAGGGCCAAGCAGACAAGTGTGAGCCCAGGAGAAGGGGAGGCGGGTGGGGGTGGGTCTCAGCTGCCAAACTTCGGAAGCTGTTTTCTTAGAGGCCCCGACGGCACTCATATAGGCGCTGAAGATCTCCAGCCTTACGTTCTCTTTATGAAGGAGAAAGAGCAGTGGGGTCTGCCTAAATCTAAAACACCCCTGGGGTGGCTGGGTGGCTCAGTCGGTTGAGCATCTGACTCGGCTCAGGTCATGATCTTGCGGTTTGTGAGTTTGAGCCCCGCGTCGGGCTCTGTGCTGACAGCTCAGAGCCTGGAGCCTGCTTCGGATTCTGTGTCTCCTTCTCTCTCTGCCCATCCCCCGTTTGTGCTCTGTCTCTCAAAAATAAATAAATAAATGTAAAAAAGAAATAATGAAAAAATAAAACACCCTTATGGAATAAACCCCAAACTTCTGAAAGCATTTATACTGTCATACTTTGCGGTAGTTATAAAATAAATGTTGACTGGCCAGTGGGGCTGAAGCAGGTGTTATAGAATAATGTGCGGTGAGCAGTCACGGAATGCTGAGAAACTCAGAGGCTCCTCCCAAAAGTCCTTCAGTTTAGGACAGACAGTAACAACCTCGCTCCCGAGTTCCCAGGAGCCCACACACCTCCTTAGCCTGGTCGGCACTCAGGGGCACCACCGTCAGTTTCTCAGCTCAAGGACAGACAGGAGAGAGGATGTGGGAGCCTGGGGGGTCTTTGCTGTCCTGGCCTTTCTGGAGCGTGAAGGCCAAGCTACTGATGCCTTGTTACAAGGCAGTGGGAGCTCGATTCCTTTGGCAAATATGGCATCTTTTCCTTGGGACTGTTTTTTTGATGCTGTTAAGGTCCAAGGTCAACAGGCCTTCAGTTTCTCCTTCTACCTGTCTTGGGCCGTGGAGAGGACAGGGGACACCCCTTACTCCAGGTACCATTATTTACCCCTGGGGCCTCTACTTCCATATTCATGGAGGTGATGCACAAATCTCTAATACCCCATTATTCGTTCGTTCGTTCATTCATTCAGTTTGTTCATTTCCTCATTTGTTTACCCATTCATAAACATCTTTTCGTTTAACAGAATACAACATGGAGCAGGCAGGTGTATCATCGGAAGTACTACTGGAGTTCAGAGGAGCGTGTTGGGGGAGGGGCTAGCAGGACAGAGGCGGCCGCTGATGTGGTTTGAAGTGTTGGGGTTCAGAGTCAACGGCCAAGAAAGAATTCTTTAGATGTCTTGGGTGCAAAAAGGGTGTTTTTTAACGTTTCTTTATTTTGAGAGAGAGAAAAGGTGTGAGTGGGGAAGGGGCAGAGAGAGAGAATCCCAGGCTCCGTGCTGTCAGCTCAGAGCCCAACGCGGGTCTCGATGCCACAAACTGAACCGTGAGATTATGACCTGAGCCGAGATCCAGGGTCGGACGCTTAACCTACTGGGCCACCCACGGGCCCCACAAAAGGGTGGTTTTATTTGACCACGGGGCCAGGGCTTTGGGGCAGAAAGAGCTGCGGTGGGGTTGTGGCGAGTGACTGATTATATACCCTCAGGTTGGGAGGGCGTTAGGGATAACGTAAGTCTCTAAGGTATTTTGGAAACAAGGTTTTCAGGACCTTGAGGCGTTAGCTGTTGTTAGGAAAAGGTCATTACTGTTTAGTAGAAACTCAGTCCTGGGACCCTTCAGATGTATATCAGGGGGCCATAAGCTTGGAGTATGATTGCCAACATACATCTTGGGGGGGGTGGGGGGGGGGAGTTGAGATGAAAGAAGTTTCCAAAGGAATTTTTCTATGTGAAAGGACACTTACAGGATCCTGGGGGTCAGGATAATGTTAAGCTAAGGTTACCTTCTGCCCCTTAGCGAAGGGTCCTCATCCAGGCAACGGAGTTCTGAGAGGAAGGTCAGTCTGTCTGCCTCAAGGACTTATCAATGGGCTGTAGGCAGTAAGGGAATTGAGCTTCTCTTTTGCCTTAGTTGCCCACATCAGCAGCGATTTCCAGTGTGCTAGCTTGGTCCCGTCTGAATCCTCATCAGCCCCTGGCAGAGCCTGGCTTGAGTGGGTGCTTTCCCCTGAAAGAAAGGGGCCAGGGAGGCCCGGGGGAAAAACTCTGCCTTGCCCGCCACAGGAGCACTGCAGCACCACAATCTAGACTCCGAAGGGGTCTCTGAAGCGGCCTCTAACGGAGCGGTCCCCACAGTCCCCTGCGGCCCTCACAGCAGAGGGGAGGTTGGCTGTCACATGAGTGGCCCACGGCCACTGCTTCTCCCTCTGAGGGAGAAAGGGAAGGAGGAGAACAGCAGCAGCAACTGAAACAGCAAATCCACGGGGTGCCACCCACCTTCACTCACTGCTTTTCCCTCAACGGTCACCCTAACGGACCTTGAAGCTAGTTGCTCTGGGAAAAGGCCGCTTCCCTGCCGGCCTGTTCCTTCCCAAGGTTCTTGGCAGTGGAAAAACCTTCCCGGTGGTCACTGCTGAGAGGCCGGAAGACGAGAGAATGCCAACACTCGGGGCCCTATTTCCACACTGCTCGGGGGCCCTCACGTCCCCTCGCCGTGGGCTTCTGGTGGTGTCACAGTGACGTTGAGATGCACTCTCCCTCCCGCAGATCTGATTGTCATTGCCTTCTGGGTGAGCCTGGCATTTTTCGTCATGCTTCTCTTCCTCATCCTGCTCTACATGTCCTGGTCAGGGTCCTCGCAGGTGAGGTGAGTAAGGGTGGCGGGGGGCCCCGGCCAGGGGTGGCGCGTGTACAGGTAAGTCACGTGGCTAAACAGCGAGTGGCCGCACGTCCACGCAGCGGAATGTTATGTGGCCACAAAAAGGAATAAATCACCGATTCCTTCTGCAACACGCATGAACTTCAGAGTCACTGTCCTGAGGGATAGAAGCTAGACACAAAAGGGCCCGTATTGTATGACTGATTCCATTGCTATGAAACATCTAGAATATTCTAAAGCAGATTGTGTTGATGGTTGTATAACTGGGAATATACTGAAGTTTTAGGTTTTAAATAGGTGAACTTTACTGTATGTATCTCAATGAAGTTGTTAGAGAAAATAGAGCCTAAATGACCCCACATGCCAGTTAGGTCTTGCCAAACAACTCACCAGGAAAATGGGACCCAAACTTAGGCATCTATGACCACCATGTGCTAATGAATACCTACTATGTGCCTTAGAGGTTAAATTCGGTAAAATCTAGGAGCTCCAAGAATTAGCTAGTAATTAACCTAGCTCGTTACACAGATTTTGAAAATGTTTATTTATATTTGAGAGCGAGCAAAGGAGTGAGCGGGGGAGGGGCAGAGAGAGGGAGACAGAGGATCCAAAGCCAGCTCTGTGCTGACAGCAGGGAGCCCCACGTGCGGCTCGAACTCACGAACGGTGAGATCATGACCTGAGCTGAAATCGGACGCTCAACAGACTGAGCCGCACAGGCGACCCTAGCTCATTAGATGCTAATTCCTGTGCTAGACAACTGGCTTACCACATCCGATTTCCTCTTCTGGCTTAATCTGCCCCCACGGCTACTGCGGTCTAAAATGACTGTCCTAACAAGGGACCCTATAAAAAGGGACTGCCTGTCTCTGCCTTAGCTGATGGGACCAGGGCTGCCCAAATTCCCCTGAAACGTGGGGCCAGGTAGCAGAGCGATCCCGGGCGAAGACTGGGGCCGGACACCATCATGGGCCAGGCAGTCTTGGGGAGTGGAGACCGGGAGCCGGCACAGGATGCTGGCAGCAGACAGATGAGCAGAGCTGCTCTGAGAGGAGGGGGCAGGGAGCGGGAAGGCCCTGAAAGACGAGAGGGCAGCCTCGCCACCTGGGGGCGTCCCGCCGCTGGCTCAGGGAGGACCTGCCCATCTGTGCACGCCCGGACCAGCTTCAAGGGGGCTCCGTCTCCCTCCTCCACCCTGCCCTGCCCGGGGTGACTCACCAAGTCACTTCCGGTTCCCTATGGTCACGGGGGGAGAGAGGCCGGGCCAGCTTCTGAGCAAATGCAGACCTCCGTCCTTTTCTTCCAGTTTTTACCACTCACGTGAAATTTGGGCAGATTTATAGCCCCAAGAGGTACCTGGGGGATAAATGAACGAAACGAGCTTTCTGAGGTGGCTCGTGGCCAGCCCTGTGCCAGGGATGGTTTGCAAGAGAAAGCTTCCCGGCCCAGTGGGCACACAGGCGGCCGAGGCTGAGGGGTCCCGGGTGTCTTCAGTGCTGCAATTTTACAGGGCAAATGGATGATGCTGTTCCCCGGCACCAGAGAAAGCACCCTCCAGACACTGTAACAGGCAGGGAGGGCTCAGGGGAGCCACCTGGGTCTTCAGTAAGATCTGGGAGACAGACGCAGGGTTGCTCCCTGAGGAGGTGCTCTTTCAAGCCTCAAAAAAAAAAAAAAGTCTGCCGGCATCACGTGAAAGGAGGGCTCTGCTCCTTCAGGCCCCCTCTCTGAGCCTCCACATTCATGTCAGGATTGCAACTAGTTGAAACTAGTTCTCCAGCCACGCATCACCTCACGTCACCCTGATGACACCTAAGAGGCGATCAGGGTCCCCCGTCACTGATGAGACGAAGGGCAGGCGGGACGGGGCGGGCCGGCTCACGTCAGGCGGCCGTGCCCACTGGCCCTGGCGCTCAGGAGAGGCATCCAGAGAACAGATTCCCGGCTAAGATGCAAGTCGGCTGGAGGCACAGGTACCTGAGCTCTACGCTCAAACCTGTGGACGGACGGAAGGCCAGCCTGCCTGCTCCCTGTCATGAACGGACACGAGGGAGACATGACCTCGGAGAGAACTAGTCAGCGTAGGGTCTGGGTCACCGCCAAGCACTGCCTGTCATCTTCCGTTTCTGCACAGGGGTGACCTTTGTGAGCCGGGTGACCCGCCCCCAGGGTCTGCTCCCCTGGCCGAGGTGCCCTTGCCCCGCGTGCCTTCTCTACGGGCTTTGGGCCGGCAGCGGGGTGTAACAGGAAAGCATTCAGTAAGTTCTCTCACCAGCTTTGATGCCTGCCTCCCATCTGCTCTGTCCACAGGAACAACGCCCAGCACCATCCAACACGCCCCTGGAGCCACGGCCTCAACCTCCCACTCTGTGTCCGGAGGCACCCCACAGGCTCCCCTGGGCTCGGGCAAGGAGCCAGGCAGCAGAGCATCCCGCCCTGAGTGGCGGCTGCGGCCGGGAGCCCCTCCACCCTGCCCCACCTGCCCCGCAGACCCACCCTGCTCTCTTCTGGGAGCCGGGTCACGATGGGGACCCCCCACAGCAGCAGCTGACAACAGGGATGAGGAGGGGGGACCCCTCCCGGGAGACAGAACCTCTCAACTGTAGCCTGGACACCAGCAAACGCCTGGTGAACTCAAACCAACCCGGACACACAAGTGCCTTCGAAAAGACTGCTTATGTGTAGCAGGAAGCGTGACTGGGTCAAGATACGCTGTACAAGGGGGCACCGGCATGCATCATCCAGGGCCTGCAGCAGCCCAGCTAGCACGGGGAAGTAGCCCCAGATGTTGCGGATTTTTAGTGCATTTCACCAGCATACTTACTCCTTATGCACTTTGGGAAGGGCAAAAAAATAAAACACATATAAATATAAAAAAAAATTTGCTTGCTCATCTTCACTGGGTCACTTTTTAGCTTCAACTACTAACTGCCATAGTATTTAGCAGCTCTGAGTTCTAAGCTGATTGGAACCTTCTTCAGGGCACCCAGGGAGGGCCTGGGAAGTTCCTTCCCATCCCCCACTGACTCCCACTCTTTCCCAGATAGGGTGGTGCACACCTGCCAGGCCAGCTGACTGCAGTCACACTCCAGATCCTCCCCCACCAGACCCTCCCCCCCACGCCTTTAAAAGACAAAGCCCAAGGGGAGGAGATCTGCATCAGAATGCTGCCACAGAAAGTCTTTGGGCTGGGAGGATGGGTCCCATCTGGGTGACTTTATGGGACCTCTGGTGTGAGCCCTCTGACAGACTCAGTCCTCCAGCGCCCGACAGCCTGGCCCTGGCAGGGAGACGGCGCCCAAGTACAAAGCCCATACAGCCCACTGCCGCCGAGGCGGGCTGACGGTTAATTCCCCAAGTTGATGGCAGACTCGGCCTCGCCTTACTCGGGGGTGGTGGGCTAGAAAGGGAGACGAGGGAGAGGAGGCTCACGAGCTCCAGAGACGCAGAAAAGGGGCGAGAAAGAACACGGGGCTCTTCTAACTTGAACCTAAAAGCAGGATTCTGACATGGGAATGTTCTCAGAAAACGCTGTTGCGAGTGTTGTGTCAGGGGGCGGGGGGATGGGCAGAGGGGAGGGTCCACCCCCTGCTTTCTAGACAATGAGCCCATACGTGGTAAAGGGACTGGAGGCAGACAGGTGTCACTCGTATCTTGGTTAAAACGTGAGGTCGTCAAGAATAACCGGGGGCCACGGCGTGCGGGAGGGACGCGGGCACACGCCGAGCTCCAAGCGCCCAGGTTCCACAACCCCACTGGGTTTGCCAGCCGCTGTGCCAATTGCTATAGGAAGGTTAAGAATCAGGTGCTGACCCTCTACGACGCAGGCTGCTGTGAAATGAAACGGCCTATTACCATCCATAAGCAAAACACAAAAGCGTAACAAAAATAGACATTTATTAACAAGTTATAGAATCCCAAATCCTCCCTTTGAAACAGTTAAAAAAAAAAAAAATACAGGCTTTCTTCCCAAGACAGAGATCAAATCGCTTTTATACTGTAAGGATTTAGCATAATACCCTTTTATTTACTAAAATAATTAACACTCAAGAAGTTGTACACATCTGTGTAAGACTTCACCGGAAAGAAAAGCTGAAGCACCTCTTCTCATGCTCCTTTATCTGACGCCTTCTATTCTTGGACCCTTTAGCTTTAATATCCACAAATCCCTTCAGTGCTCAGAAGCGTTACCTCAACTTGAGGTATTTTCTTTGAAGAGCACTGAAGCCAAGAGGAAGGGTCCTCCCAGTGTGAACACTGAATGGGCCTGTGGGCCGGAAGCACCCAGGCCTGCTTCGGCTTTGACTGCTTTGTGCGCGCAGTCCCCGGAGCTTATCATTCATCGTTGAGTTAAACAAAGCCAACTTCGCCTGTCAGGAAACGGAGTTAACGTTGACGGAACTTGTCATTATACGTGCTTTCCACGGAAACCCTCGACTCAACTAACCTTCTAGAACCTGGTGCCAGAAGGCGCCGGAGGGCAGGGCATCAAGCGTTGGGGACCAAGGCGGCGATGTCCTTGCAGAGCATGACGACAGCCTCCTCGTCACCCTTTGGCGCGTCCTCTGTGGCGTCACGGATCATCTGGATGTGGGTTAGGAGGGTGTCTGGCCGCTGAGCCCCCAGCCAGACGTCCTTAATGTACAGAGATACCAGGAACGCTGCGGTGGCTGAGGAAGAGGGCAACAAGGCCGTCAGGACACAAAGCTACTCCTCTGGAAAACAAGTCACCCCACCCACACACCTGGGGACATGGGAGCTTTGCTCGGTACCCAAGTAAACGGTGCCACATGCCTCTGGCAACAGGAGGTGAGCAGGTGTTCAAAACAAATTAATTTTGCTTAAATTTGGGGTTAATCTTTTTTCTTTTAAAAAAACTCATCTTTCTATTTGATCAATGTGTGTGGAACGTGAAAAAAAGTTACTACGAGCCAAGTTTCTTCTTGGTCCTGACCACCCGTGCTGAGAACCAGAACCGTGGTTTGAGAAGAGGTTCCCAGGATCCCTTCACACCATTTCGTCAATAGCATGGGCCAGAGGACAGGGTTTCCCAGGCACAGACTCAACTCCCTGACAGCATCCAGATGAGAGAAGAGGTCACTCCCAGGGTGAGTTCACCTGCCTCGGCTGCTGGCCCATCTCTCTTTCCTGGTCCCCTTCCATCCCTCTGTGAAAGGAACAACCCTCTCAGATGGAGGAGGCCACGTGCACATGGTCAGCCTCCCTCTGTTCTCCTTACAGCCTTTTAAGCCTTTGCTGCTGGTTCATTCATTCATTCCTGCACTTAATCCCTCACTAAGCACCTGCTAAGTGCCAAGCACATAAACTGTGTGCATATTTTCGTGCTTGTGCACATATATGCAAATCCACACACACACACACACACACACACACACACACACACACACACGCGCGCGCATCTGTACCCACGCATCCATCCGCACTGCTGTGAAGCGTAATCTTCACTTGAGTAATGGCTGAAATGTAGCAAAGCCGCTGCTGTGCAGCGGTTCTAAGGGGCACTCGCTTCTCCACTGCAAACACAATCATCACTGGCACTTGACCAGAGAGCAGAGGCTTCCTCCCTGCCCGCTCATGGCCCCATGGCAAACTGGGTTTGGGTTGGGCCCCATCCATACTTCATCAAGGGTCCCCGACAGGCTCTAAGGACCGGGAGTTGCTCCGGACCCCGCACCCGTTGGTGCATTCCTTCAGCCTCTGACGAGCGAACCAGCCTCACCTCGGGTGGCTTCGTCCTTCTCCTTCAGAGACGAGAGGCAGAGGGTCTCGATCGCCGGGCGGAAGGCGCTCCCCGCCGGGCCCTGGGCCGCCAGCTGCAGCATGACCGTGTTGAAGAGGCAGGCCACGCTCTGCGCGGGGCCCGCCAGCTGCTCGGCGCTGCAGGACTGGCTGTACAGCCTGAAGATGCTACTCCTCACAGCACGGTCCCCGAGAAGCTCTGCCACGACCACCGGCTGTGGCAAGATGTGGCTCTTCAGCCAGCCAAGGAGTCCCAAAGCCTCTGCCCTGCCGGGCGGGTGCTCGGCCACCGACCGCAGCACCCAGCCGACCGCCAGGGAGGCGGTGGCACACGCGAGGCCCGGGGCCTCGCTCTCAGGGGCAGCCCCGTCCACGGGGCCCCGAGCGCAGTCAGGGCCGGGGAACGCGGGCCCCCAGTGGGTCAGTATGGACCTCAAGAGGCCCTTGCACGTCTCCAAGGTGGACGCCTGCGGCTCAGGGTCGGCCGTCTCCTCCTCCTCCCCAGGCCTCCTCTTTCGGCCCCGCGGGCCTTTAGCTCGGGCTGGCACGGCGGGCTTGTTCTTATCCTTGCACATTTCTGTTGTACACGGAGAGGAAGGCAGTGAGACCGACGCCCCCGTCCCCATGCAGCTCCAGGTGGCGGGCGGGTGCCGCAAGGGCGGCCTAGAGGCCCCGAGGGCTCGGCCCCAACAGGACACGTTCCTACGCCTGGAGCGCGGCGAGTGCTCCACGTGGGCCGGTGACGGTCCCCGCTGCCGTCACGATGAACCCGCTTCATCCTCACCACCGCCCCTCCCCCTCATGGTGAGCACCGGCCGTGGCAGAGCCAGAGCTCAAAGCCAGGCCTCCCCAGCAACCTCTGCAGGGCTACGAGGATGGGTGTGCCCTGTTCCTGAGCCCCGACAGCTTCGGAAATGCTGCTCAGAGAAGCAAACCGCTGGGTGCTCCGTGGGGAGCTGGGCACAGTCTGGGGAACGCCAGACAGTCGGGTCCCGACACTCACTCAGCAGCTCCTTGACTTGGTATTGCTCAATGGCTGCTCTCAGGTCGTCCTGGAGCTTGGCATCTCTCTCGATGAGGCTCCACTTGTGCAGGAGGACGAGGACATCCTTGGTGGACAGCACTGTCTCGTTCACTGTGAAGCGGTTCATGTCCTTGAAGGCCTGCACGACGGTGGCCCGGTACCTCAGCACGGACTCGAGCGCCCCAAAGAAGCCGGTCAGCTGGGCGGGGGCCAAGGTCGGCCTGTCGGGAGCCAATGTCGCAGACTGATCCCAAGCTGCCTCCTCGTCCCATAGCCCAGGACGGGGGTGGCTGGGCAACGCCCAGAGGGTCAAATGGCCCACCCACCGCCGGAGTGTGCCTTTACAACACACAGGGAGCATGGAACCAGCACAACGAACAGGACAGAGCAAGCCACGGCAGGGGAGGCACAGTGGAGACTGGAGTCCGACCTCCATGCTGGAGGAACAGAAATCTCTGGGAAACCATGGCTGACCAGGGAGAGTGAGGTGGAGAGAGTGTGAGCGTCTGGGCACCAGCCACCTAACACAACACTGTGGGACAGTGGGCTCCCTGTGCCTCACGGCCTCTCAGACTCAGCCCCATCCGTGGTCCAACCCGACGATGGGCACCGGTAAGAAATACGTTCTGAACCCCAGGGAATTTAAAATACGATAGCACCTGCTCCACACGATTTTAGAATTATTTCAAATTGCCATCGGTTCTCAACGACCCCGAAATAAGAAACAGGTGTGTCGGCACTGACTTAACAACTTAATTCAAAACAACCTAAGAC